GTGTGTGTGTGTGTGTGTGTGTGTGAGAGTGTGTGTGTGTGTGTGTGTGTGTGTGTCCGCAGTCAGTGTACGGTCTACAGAACGACATCCGCAGTCCCAGTCCCACTCACACGGTCACACCGGAGGTCAAAGAGCCCACGGAGGACGAGCTACGCAACCAGGTGACTTAACGAGGACGCTCGTCACAGACACTGTGTTTGAGAAATACATGCACAGCTGCTGTGTTCTGTGTAGCGCACATGCATGCAGTATACGTGTAGCTGTTTTAAATGAATGTAAAATATTAACAACAATAAAATGGCATAAGAATACAGTTTTCAACAAAAAACTAATAATAGAATAAGATCAAAAATCTAAAGAAGACAGACAATGAAAAAATATATAGTAATACATAATAATGAAAAAAGAAGGAAATCAAATCATTTTAATGCTTTTAATGACATTCTCAAAAAAATCAGAACAAAACAAAAGAAGACATACAATAAATAAATAAACAATAATACACGATGTATAAAAATAAAGTAATAAAAAAGCTAAATAATTGATTTAGTAAATTATTTATTAAAGAAATAAAATCATTTTATAGTATATTACTATGTAAACTTGTACAGAAAATGTAAACTTGTACAGAAAATTATATGTTACAGGCATGGAGATAAAAAAATTGCTTAATAATGCTTTTTTTAAATTAATATCTTCTGACACGGCTTCCTCAAATAATCAAGACAAGACATAAAATAAGATACAATTAATGAAAAAACAATTACAAATAATACATAAAAAACTAAATAATTGCTATAGTAAATTATATATCATAAGGCAATAAAATCATTTTAATAATATTTTTATATTTAATCATGTCTGACTTTTTTATAGGGCTCTTTTATAAGGGCTTCTGGGAAGTATATTAAATTAAATAATATATAAACAGAGGACAGATTTAATGAATCTACAATTATGAATATTTAATTTTTATATTGTATTGTTTTTTTTAATACAAAACAGTATTCTTTGGTCGATATTTTCTAAGGTTGAAGTAATTTTTTTATAAGCCAATCCTGTCATGTTCTCCAGAACGCACATGAGAAACTGCACGGAAATATGTTTTGTGTGCATGTAAGTACAACTGCTTCAGTAGGGAATAATGTTTTATATGTAAGGGTTTGCTAAAAGACAGATCGAGAGCGTCTTCCTCTTCCTGTCTGGAGAAAGCAGAGCGATACGACGAGTGACGTATTTATGAGAACACGTTTAGAGTTTTAATACTGACTCAAATTATCCTGTCTTCACGTTAAATCTTTATGACACAGTTTTTATAAGCAGCTCAGGGCTGTACAGTGTGTGCAATCACACACACATATTATATTATATATTAGTTCATGTTTCTCTTTTCCACACCAGTGTTCATTTTTGTCAACGGCATTTTTTTCACTGACAACAACGAGACGATAACGAACTGAAACTCTTTTTGAATGACAAAAACATTGACGTAAATCTATTGACATTTTCGTCAACTAATAAAAACGAGACGAAAATGTTAGGGTGGGACGATTTGGGAAGAGATTAATTCAGAACGAATCTGCTGCATAGTTCGGAGGTTAGATGGGTACATATGAACCGTCGGGACATAAGCTGAAATACACTTGCTGCACGTCGCATAAAACATTCAAAAATGTCAATATTGTGGGAGTAAGAGAAGAGCAGACATATGGATAAATCTGATGACGCAAGAGAGAACTCAATTCTGTCCGGTTTTCTGAGCGCAGACACTGAAGCACACACACAGAAAGCGCCTCTCACAGCGCGCGAGTACTCTCTCGCGTTCGTTTTCTGAGCGAAGACACTGAAGCACACACACAGAAAGCGCCTCTCACAGCGCACGAGTACTCTCTCGCGTTCGTTTTCTGAGCGAAGACACTGAAGCACACACACAGAAAGCGCCTCTCACAGCGCGCGAGTACTCTCTCGCGTTCGTTTTCTGAGCGCAGACACTGAAGCACACACACAGAAAGCGCCTCTCACAGCGCGCGAGTACTCTCTCGC